ACTAGTTATGATATTCAGCGTAGTGTCTGCGTTCTTGTACCTTAATAAGTCAGGCCAGTTGATACCCCTCAACTCTTCCCTCATCCCATTGTAATTTCCCTTGTAATATTTGTACCTTGGCCTGGCCTTATCTTGAACTAGGTAACAGTTAAACCTGAATGACAACACTGTATGGTGACTGGTGCCAACTGGGGCAAGGTGTTCCAGTTTGGCCACCATACCCTCCTCGTTTGTTATGATGAGGTCAAGTGGCTTGGGTGTTTGCTCCCCTCTGTAATGTGTCGGGTCTCTCACATGTTGGAACAGAAAATTATCTCTCAGAGTTTCTACAAAAAGAGTAGCAGGATTATTCAAGTCATTCGGGGTGGACTCGTTTCTCCAGTCGATGTCGCCATAGTTAAAGTCCCCCATGATAAGGAGGTGGCTGGGGTTAAGCATCGCCGCATTGTTTATTAAGGTTCTTAGGTTCCTTTGATTTAGTGGGCCACAGTTCGGGGATCTGTAGATACACCCGACGATAAGTAAGTCCCCTCCCTTTAATTTAATTTTACACCACTTGGACTCTTCAAAAACATCCTCTCCCTGTACCCTCGCCTGGCTGGCTCTAAGGTCTTGCCTAGCGTAGATAACCACACCCCTCCTGCAGGATTCTTGAGTTAGGTTCGTAAATGAGTCATATCCAGCAATACTGAACTCACATTCCTCTGGGTCGATTCTCCTGTTCTTGTACACCAGTTCTACAACTCCTACAATATCTGGTTGGTGTACTCTTAGTAGTGTTTCAAACTCCTCTCTCTTATCAATGAACGTGTCAGTATTAGTGTACATGACATTCAAGCCAGAATTTGTTCTCGGTAACGTCTCTGCTCTTAGTAATAAACCCGCTCCACCCACATTCTCAGAAGCTGCAGCATTTGCTAAGTACACTGTATTTTGCAGGGTGTGGTTAAAAATTTCATTGTTTACACGGCGCTCGTTCCCTCCTGTCCGGTAGGCTGAGCTGGTGCCGCCTCCCGGGTGGGGGGTTGAGTGGGTGGAGGGTGCACTGCTGCCCCCTGGCCCTGTGTCGGCACACTTGTTTCCACTACCCTCCCCCTGAGTATAACCCATGTGCACCTGTCCCCGTTCCTTCTCGACTCCTCCCTCTTCTGCTTCACGTCCAGCAGGAGCTTCTTGTGCTGTTCCCTCTGCATTACCGTGCGGTCTGGGTGAATAAATACATCCCGAAATGCCTCGCTCCTTGCTAAGTTTTTTGCCTGCCGGATAACTTGCCATTTTTCCTCCTCACTCCCTAGTGTGATCCTGAGGGGGCGAGGCTTAGCCCCCTGCTTTTGTCCCAGTCTCCTCACATCCTGAGGGTTGTTGGAATCTTCAGAACCTCTGTGCAAATATTTTGAAACAGCACCTTGTCGTGTGTTTCCTTACTCACAGTTCCCTCTGCCTGGCTCTCTGGGACTCCAAAAACTATTACATTGTTCCTGCGCTGGAGCCGTTCCTGGTGTTCCTCCTCTCCCCTAACAGTAGGTGCGTTAATTTTCATTTCTTCGACACACTTTTTCAGAGTCCCAATCTGCTGTAGAACCTGTACTGATTCTGCATTACTCTCCGCCCTCCCCCGTGGCCCTCCTAATACGTCAGCATAACTCCTCTTAGCAACCACCTCCAGTCTATTAGCTACTTGCAACATGCAACCTACATACCTTAATCTGAGCGAAGGATTACCATTCACAATTCTAACTAGTATCATTCATGCACACATCAACAACATCGCAAAACCAGGATCCTTTGGAAAAACGATCAGGGAAATGTTTGCTAAAAAGAATCTGCCGGAGGTGAAATTCCCAGACGACGCCCCTTCAACAGAAATATTTAAAATTGTCATCGAGAGTAGCCTGGGAATAACCAAACCACAGGAGTACATAACCAAACTATGCACAGAAGAAAACGTCATGGAAATAGACCCTATCAGCCAAGCAGTCACACCACACCGCAAATCATCAGATTCCACAACTCGGCAAACAGAGAAACCACAAACTGCAAAAGCTGACCCAACTAAAGCGAAATCAAGAAAAGAATCCCACTCTGGCCATCAGTTTCCATCTTCACCAAGCGATGTGCAGCCAGCAGACCTAGGCGATGAGATCGGTATCCTCTTCTACTCGGTCAACATACCACCTACAATAACAAATGACAGACTTCTGCAGGAAATCAAGGAAGGCACAGTCAAATTCATCTACGAAGATGTTAGGGTAGAAGAAGCCTACATAGACCAGTTGATAAATGCAGGACTATAAACACCAAATACAACAAAATTGAAAGAGTAGATATAACTAAGTTTAAGAAAATCAGAACGGGATTACAGGAAGACACTCGCCAGGAGGTACACGAGCCAGCAAACACCCTACACCAAGTTCTCGGGATCCACGACTATTCAAAACAAATCATTAAAGATAATTCAACACAACGTCCTTGCCTGGACTCTGGCGAGGAAAATAGAACTTACTAACAAATACAGCACAATAGACCCAGACATCATCCTTATCAACGCACATGGTCGAAAAAACAGTGACAAAATCAAGATCTTTAACTACCATGTACAGCAACTGCCTCGGGATGAGCATACCAGGAAGATCTCCTCACAGTCTGCTCCACAATCTGAACAACCTTCCTTGGCTGACTCCTCAGGAGCTCAAGCTGGAAGAGAACATGCCTCGGACCTTCGGAGAACGATGACTTGACCTTGGCGTTGAACCAATTTGGCAAGTAGACACTCACGATGAATTGGACAATAAGTCTCAGGTTGTGAAGCTGGTTCCCTTTCAGTTTATGATGAGCGACCCAAATTTTGCAGAACCTGAGAGCCGTTGTGAGCCACCTAGAATGTGAGACTGGACCTATCTGCAGGTAAGCAAGTCTATCAGGCATGACCCCAGTTTTGATGGCACTGCAAATCATGTAACCATAGTACTGGTCAGTACTCAGGTCGTCAATGACAGTATGTGCAAGCTCAACGAGTGGAGGGCCAACTGTGATTTTTTTCAAAGCTCGGATTTATTTCTAACTCAGTGGCAGAGTCCAGCATCTTGCCAAGAGGACCAGACCATCTGTTGTTTGAAAAAGTCTTGCCATCCAGCTCCTGGATCAGATGTCTGAGTGGCAACTCGTTGGTGTGGAGGTCACAAACAATCCAGACCAGCTTCCTCCCAATATTCCGCTCTATCCACTGTATGACCTCCCCTTGCCACCCTGTGTTCGTGTTGGTGCTGTCCCCTCCAATGGCCTGCAGGGTCTGGTCTACGTTCCTCTCTCTGAGCCAGTTCACAATGTTATCTGCCACCATCTCAGCTGGTTTCCTGATGTCATCTTTCTCTGAGGAAATGCCATAAACTCTCCTGGTTCACACAGCAGGAGTAGTGTTCCTCCTTCACCATGGCAGTGTAAACAACTTGTCAGAATCTCCAACTTTCATGAACACTTTTAGTGTCATCCTCCCATCAAAGAACAAACAATTGATTCCATTTCTTATCCCCCTCATCAAACCTCTTCTAGGTTACTGACCAGTTTCTCCCTGTTTCCTTACTTTGTTATGAGACTACCCACCAGGTAGAACATCATCAGGTGTTATCAAACCACCGTCAACCCAGGCAGCTGTTGCTATCTCTGCAGTTTCTCTGAGACAAGTGTGGTGTCGCATGCTGGCCAGAGCTATGCTCGGGATATCTTTCCTATTTCGAATCTTATGCCTGGAAGGTTTGGGATCATTATTTTCTGGGTTAGGGACAAAGTCACCATTCTCCTGGTCAGCACTCGGATCAGCCATGGGGAAGTCATTAAACTCTGAATCAGCTTGACTCCAATCATAGGCCTTTTTTACCTCACCCCTGGGCCTTCTCAAGTCTCTTTCTTTCCTCCGGCAACTCAAGGTTCTGTCTCTGTGGCAGCCTCCTGTCTCTGAGTTCCGGAATATCTTTTTGGCTGAAATCATGAGAACCTCTATATCGCCAGTCTTCTGCTTTTGACAAATGCCAGTTCGATCACAGGAATCTTCAGTTCACGCTTGCAAATTAGCAGGAGATGTGGGCCTCGGATTTACAGTCACGATCGCATCCAAACTCAGGACAGAGAACAATTGGGCACTTGCAAGTAATTATGTCAAATAACTGGTCCAGTTGCTTGGCAATGCTGTCCTTAACTGCAAGTTTTCCTCTCCCAAGAGAGATATCTCTTGCCTTTTCCCAACTGGCTAGCAGTCTCTCACTAATCTTCTTCTGACTTGTTATGACTGGAGGCTTGAACTGAGCGTTAGCCAGAGTGGACTGTGCCAAGACAGCTTTGGTCATATCACTGGCAATGTCTTTGCCAAGTTCTTGGTTCTTTTTCACTGATTGCCTGATTAAAACACCGTATCTCTCAATGTAGTAACCTGACTTCTTCAGGAGCTCTCTCCCAGAATCTAAGATAGTGACTGAGATGGTTGATTTTTGGTTCTCGTCCTGACACAAGCAGCCATCAAAATATTATCAACTTATAAAATGCATCAGAATCTGAAACAGAAAAATATTGTTAGTTGGGTTGTTAAAGAATGAAGTCAGAAAGCAATGTTCAATATTTAATTGTAATGCACGTATCGTTAGATTTTCGATAAATTTCACGCTAAAATTTACCTAGCAAAAGGTTGCAAAATATTGAAACTGAAATTATTTTCTGTTTATATACACTAAAATCTACCAAAAAAGTGATGGGCCATTAGTTTTAGCTGATCTTCCCTCCTATGACACACCCTACTGTACTAATCTCCAGCACCGACCCAGGTGGGCTAGAGAATATGGTTTCCGAATATACATAATTTTCAAGCAAGAATTTGTTCTCAGTAACGTCTCTCATCTTGGTAGTGACTTGGCCAGTTCTTGTCCCAAGGTTCAATTAAACTCTTCTACCATTCCGCCTGACTGTGGACCGAAATGAAATGGTCCTAGTCTTCCTTATGCCCAACAGATTACAACACTCGCTGAACACAGCTGACTCAAAATTTCTGCCCTGGTTTGAGTGCAACTCGTGGGATACACCAAACCGGCAGAAGAACGAATCCACCAGCACCCTGGCAACAGGGATGGCATAAACTTCTGGCCACTGATCCATGGCCACATCTACAGTGAGTGGCAGAGGTCCTGTAATATCCACTGTGACCCTCTCCATTGGTGCACCTGCAATGGTCCCTTCTTGGCGAAGCAGACATCGCATGACCGCCACCATTCTTCCACATCCTTACTGTAGAGGCCTGGGACTTAGGGATATAAATCCCTTGCCAGCCTAATCAGGATCTTATAAAAGGAAAGTCAAGAACCATGGTTTTCTGAGGGATAACAAACAACCGTTCGAGATTGACATCTCTTTACTATGAAAATAACACAAAACTCTGACACCACTCACACAAATATCAAATAACAATTACGGGAGTCAAACAATTAAAGGAGGCAAACAATTAAGAGAATTAAACAATTGCGGGAGTCAAACAATTACGGGAGTCAAACAATTAATGGAGTCAACAATTAAAGGGAGTCAAGCAATTACGAGAATCAAACAGCCGCAGTTGTAGCTGGAGCAGGTGTCCGGAGATTGACAGCCAAATAGTGAAGGTCTGGGGAATCAGCCCACGAGTCCAGGACCCAGTAGGCCGCCCTGGGCGGAGGGTTTTATCATAAACGAGCGACGGGCAACCATCCTGCTCGTTACAGCCCTGACACTTACGCATGCCAACCCAGTAAAACCTTTGCCGCAGGCTACTCAGGGTCTTTTTGACTCCCGGATCCAGATATCCACTGGTTAGATTGTTGTGCATCTCCCTCGGGATCTCTGACCTTATCTTCCAGGGAAGTACTGTCTGCCAGTACCTGTTGAGGGCCATTGGTAATCACCCACTGGCGCTGCAGCAGTCCATCCTCCGGCCGAAGAGCATCCCACTGCGCCTAGTAGTTTTTATTCGTAGGACTTGCTCCAGAGATCGTCTCAGATCTTGGTCTTCCAGCTGCAGCTTCTCAAGGCCTTCCCCAACAACGGCTAGATCCTCCTTCACCGTAGTGCGGCTACACTTCTTGGGAACTGCCTCTCTCCTACAACACTGCTGAAAATTGGAATCACACGGTCCTCTGCTCAGACTGTCAGCATTCCCATGTCTCTGCCCAGGCCTGTACTGGATGATATAATTGTGCTGGTCCCGCTTCCTAAGCCATGCGTGCCAGTTGTCCTTCTGGATTCTTCAGAGTCTTAAGCCACCTCAATGTTGCGTGGTCATTCCGGATGGAAGAAGCCAAAACACTTTACCACGACCAAGAGCTCCTTTCTGGTCACACAATAATTTCTCTCTCATGGCTTAACTTCTTGCTGTAGTATGCCACTACGTACTCGATGCCATCCTTCTTCTGGGACAGCACCCCACCGATGCCATCATTACTAGCATCACAGTCTGAGATGAATGGTTGAGTTGGGTCCGGATACGGGAGCACCAGGGAATTGGCCAGGCATCTTTTAGTTGGTCGAAGGAGCCTTAACTCTCAATAGTCCACACAAACTTCTGTCCCTTCTTAGTCAGCTTGTGCAACAGTGCTGCAACCGTGGCGAAGTTCCTCACAAATCGACGGTAGTAGGTACAAAGGCCAAGGAAACTTCGCAGCTCCCTTATACATGTTGGCACTGGCCAATTTCTCACCACCGCCACCTTCTCTGGGTCTGTGCGTACTCGGCCTTCACTTACTATATGTCCCAGATATTGAACTTCCTTCTGGAACAAGTAACATTTTTTGGGGCTCAGTTTAAGGTGTGCAGCCCAGAACCGGTCAAACACTTTCTATAGCCTCCTCAGCTCTTGCTCGAAAGTTTTGCCAAAGACAATCACATTGTTCAGATATATGAGCGCAGTCTTTCAGTGCAAGCCTTCTAGAACCTTTTACATGAGACCGAATGGCATAACTTTGAACTGATGTCTTTTCCTTGTCTTTCTCACCCATCTTCACCTGATGATACCCATACTTTAAATCGAGTGTTGAGAACCACTTGGCGCCTGTCAGCGCATCCAGTGTGTCATCGATTCTTGGCAAGGGGTAGGAGTCCTTCACCGTCACGTCATTGAGGGCGCAGTAATCCACACAGCACTGCATTGAACCATCCTTCTTCCTCACAAGGGCCACTCCTGACGCCCACGGACTGCTGGACTTTTCGACCAGACCTTGGTGAATAAGTTCCCCTACCGCCTTCTCCATTTCCTGGCGACGAGCTGGTGCTATTCTCTGAGGCGGCTGCTTGATCGGGCGTTGAACCCCAGTGTCGATGTGATGCTATACCAGGTCTGTACAACCCGGGTCTAGGTCCCCAGCAGAGAAGACGTCAGTATAGTTCAATGACAATTGTTCCAGTTGTATCACTTGAGCCTCACCCAGGCACTTGGTTCTCCTGGCAAACAAGTCCTGCAAATGGTCGGACTGACCATTTTTCTGCTTGACCACGCTCCTCTTGCAGGTCCTGGGCTCGTGGTCGACCTCTTGGCACAGTCCAACAGTCCAACGGCCATTCCCTGCTTTATTTTCTTTGGACGGAGAGTGAAATTGGCCACAATTAGAGATACCTCCTCTGCAGATAGATAAACTAAAGTTCTCCCCACCATCACTCCATCTTCGACTCCACACTGCTCATCAGGCTCCATTATTCCCAGACAGGTATGCAAACCACCGTTCACCTTAAACGGCAACAGCACCTCTGATCTTTGGGGAATAACTACTGACCGTCTAGTTTCACAGTCCTTAGTGGTACCCACTTTCCTTTAATATTCAGCTGTCCTCGAGCCAAGGTCCAGTTGACACCTGCGAGGTAGGAGGTAGTCCAGACAAAGGATGCAAGGGTCTTCGATATCCGCTACATAAACCTGTAGGGCTTCTTCTTCCCCTCCTAGATTGATGCTGATATTCACTGGTCCCTTTAGCACTGTGCAGTGTCCAATTATCCCGCGCAACTGCTGTGGCGTCTCAGGTAGTTTTAGATGACTAAGCACGTCCGGGTTCACAAAAGTCTGCTCCGAGGCTGTGTCGATCACCAACGGACACCTTACACCATCGATTTCACCTTCAACCTGGACACTGTTTACAGTGACTGGGTTGCATTCTGTAAACAGTGGGGCTCTGGAGAGACAGGCTGGTCGTTGCCCCTTGGCACCAGCCGTCTCTAGTTTCCCGTCTTAGTGGGCTTCTCTTCTTTCCCTCTCTTGGAATTCTGTGGGTACTTAGTCTTGAAGTGTCCTTCTTCTCCTGTCGTCCAACATCCTCGCTTCTCCACGTTCTTCTCTGTATTGCCCTGCTCTCGCTCTCGCTTCCGCTTGTAGCAGTCCTCTTGTTTATGCCCAATCTTTTTGCAATACCAGCAGGTTCCTTTAAATCTCTCGGCCTCATGAACTTGACCCTTTCTTGCTTTAAACCCAGAGCTAGGCTCCGTCTTGAAGCTTGGTAAACTTGACCTTTCATAAGATTCAAAATCCAGGGCTCTAGCCAAAGCTTCCAGTAGAGTTGCCGGTTGGGATTGCTTCACTTGAATCTTGAGCTGCGTGTTGTCCAATGCGTCCACAAACTGTTACCTCAACAACACGGCTAACAGATCAGGTGATGCAGCAGGGTACGCCCTATGAGCCGTACTTTCCAGGTCTTGAGAAGGCTGTTATAGTTATTACGAACCACACCATCTATTGTCATGATCTTACTACCCAGCACTACCGAGCAAAGCCATCTAGGGACGCGACCCGAGTATGATTAGTCTTAGTCACCACTCCGGGTTTCCTTTCTCCATATCCTGGTTGTTGCGTCACCTCCTCCAACTCTGCCTCATCAGCTCTGGATCGAGGAGAGTTCATTTCACTCTGGGAAGTGACCACACTTGGATTACCTATCCTGGAAACTTACGGCACAGTGACTACCTACCATCTTCTTCAATACTCAGCCCTACTCGTCAGACACTTCAGCACCGCACTTGAGTATTGTAACCCTATATTGCCTCCCACCTCCACTTGCTTCAGATTGTATGTTGTATAAATATGTATGTACTGTTAAGCCAATGTTGCGTATGTTTAAGTTAAGTTTGGTTAAGGGTAAATTATAGAAAGCTGGATATTTTGTTAAGGAATTTATTGTACTTTATTATACACAACAAAAACTGGCATCCTTTGTCAACCCTTTTATAGTCCGATTGTCTTTGTTTGTTTAGTTCTTTATTGTTGTTGCCTGTTGGGATCTGGGTAGACTTTTAACTATATTCTAAACCAGTTTCTAAATCCCCAACGCGTAACAAATGGCGACCTTGACAGGACCAGACCTTAAGTGCCATATTTCTTCCCCCCTTATTACTCCTTGTTAATTATTCCTCCCAGTCACTTCTGTTCACAATTGTGTTACGGTGGTTTAAAGTTCCCTTCATATGTGTGTGCATATATTGGTATTACCGTACAGTAAGAGTGACAGACGTAGGATATTAGGTTCCACGTGGCAGTCGTGTAGTAAGTCTTATCGAGTGTAGGGAAGAATCCGGATCTGTTTAATGCCGTACCCTCGCTCCAGAGTAGGCTGTTCCATAGTCACTAGTTTAGGGTGAAGTGATATCTTGGGACGCCCTGCTCTACCAGGACCCCATAATTATAAAGCCTCAATTATTGTTCTTCTCATTATCTCATTCGGGGTCAATAATAAAGTAACTCGAGGGTTATTTATCCGGATCCTTATATTAATGCCGTAATACGCCCCTCCTGTTTCAAGTATCTTTCCAAGTCTCTTATCCTTATTTAAGGATCTTATCAGAAGAACAATATTCATAAGTGTAATTTCCCTAGGTATAACTTGGGTAGTTTCCGGGACTTTCTGGTTATCTACTGCCATGATATTTTCTAGGGTAATCCACTTATCTTATCTTTTGGCCATTAGTTAATTCATCTAGTTTTTCTTAACAATGACCACCTTAGGTTTTGATCTCCAGGATTTTATTGAAAATCCTTCCATATCTAAATTACGTGTTAATATCCTGAAGAAAGAATGGAAAAGAATAGCTACCTATTACAATATCCCATATTCACAGCAAATGACTAAGGAAGTGTTAAAAAATCAGGTAATTGAAATGTTGGTTCAACAAGAAGTTTTAGAAGAATCCACTGTTGATCAATTAGCGCCCATGTCCAATACACTTCAACCACTATCCACCACCCCTCCTCACTCAGAAGTTGCCTCAGGTCTGGCTAGCCCTCAAGAAAAAACACAAAGAGTAGACGCCTTAGAAATAGAACGAGCTAGGTTCGTGTTCCAAGTCAAAATGAAAGAACTCCAGTTGGAACAGGCCAAGTTGGAGCATGAGGTAAAGTTGGAACAGGCCAAGTTGGAGCATGAGGTAAAGTTGGAACAGGCCAAGTTGGAGCAGGAGGTTAGACTGAAAGAACTACAGGTGAAAGAGACAGAAGTCACCTTAACATCGGAGTTTAAATCAAAAGAAGTGGCATTAAAAGAGAGACTAGCTGCTTTTAACCCTGCTAATGCTTCTTCCCTGTTCCCGGGTTTGATGAATCCGATATGGACGGGTCATTTAGGACTTTTGAGAAAATAGCCGGGAAGAATGAGTGGCCTAAGGACCAGTGGGTGTCGGTGTTAGTTCCTAAATTATGTGGGAAGGCTCATAGAGTTTATAACTGTTTAAACCAGACTGATGACTATGATAACGTAAAAGAGAATATCCTCACCTCTCATGCTATCACGCCAGATAGATATCGGCAGAAGTTTCGTAAACTAACCAAAACATTTTCACACACCTTTGTTGAGTTTGCTCAAGAAAAGCTTAGGTTTTTCAAGAAGTGGTTAGAGGCTGCAGAGACCTCCACATTTCAGGATTTATTAAACTTGGTAGTCCTGGAGGAGTGGAAGAGCAAGATACCATTTCACATCTTGAAGCATGTGGAGGAGCGTGGATAGGTTAATTTAGGGCGTGCGGCTGAGGTGGCTGATGCATACGCCTTGCTGGTGGAGTCACTGGGCAGTAGGGAACGTGGTACTTTCCAGCATGTTAGGTCCTCCTCTGATGATAACCTTGGGGACGTGAGTGGTAGGTCGAAAGGTCCCACACCTACCCCCCCTGATGCAACCAAGTTTTATTGTTCTTACTGTAAAAAACCAGGCCATACGATCCAGTCTTGTAAACACCCAAAGTGTCGAACTTCTAAAAGTAGTTCCCTGGATCCCAAATTCAAACCAATAGAAACCACCAATGTGGAAAGGCCCCCATCAGGATCTCTTCTCTTTATTCACCTATGAGGGAAAAATTTCAATCATAGAGGGGTCTCGCTCTTTCCCTATTCGTATACTACGTGATACGGGCGCAGCACAATCTATCCTCCTGTTTAACGTCATTCCTGATATATCTACAGCATTTACTAATGAGAGTGTTCTAATTTCAGATCTCTCATCCCATTCTTCCTATCCCTTAGCTAAAGTGCACCTCCAATGTCCCTTGATTACTGGGGAAGTGCAAGTAGCCATTTGGAAAGATCCAATGCCTGTGAGCGGCATTCATTTATTATTGGGTAATGACTTGGTAGGAGATCTAGTGGTTCCCAACATAAAGACAGTCGACTCTCCCTTACCTGTCAACTCCACCACTGACCTTGAAGAAACTATTCCTCACCTTTTCCCATCTTGTGCTGTCACCCGGTCACAGAGTGTGCAAAATGGGCCCTCTTCATCTAAAACCACCTCCAATATCTTCCTACCCACAGAAGATCTGTACAATAAGACCATTAGTAAGGATGAGCTCATTAAAGCCCAACAATCTGATCCATCTTTGAATAAACTTCATCATGCAGCAGTTGAGGGTAAAGATTTTAACACCCTTCCGTGTTATTATTATCAGGAAGGGGTTTTGATAATGGCCTATAGACCCCCTGAGCTTACCCATCTAGACACGTGGTCTGAAATACATCAAGTGGTAATTCCCTCCTCAGTCAGACCAGCCTTAATTGCCCTTGCCCATGATGGTATTTCAGGACATTTGGGAATCCTGAAAACATATAAAAAGCTCCTCCAACACTATTACTGGCCTGGACTTAGGAAGGATGTGTCAAAGTACCTAAAATCTTGTCATATTTGTCAAATGGTAGGAAAACCAAATGAAAGTATACCAGCAGCTCCCATTAAGCCCATCCCAGTATTTTCTACACCATTTGAAAAGATTGTTGTGGCTTGTGTGGGCCCATTACCAAAGACTAAGAAGGGAAATCAATTCCTGCTCACAGTTATGGATGCCAGTACACGTTATCCTGAGGCTTTTCTCCTTAAAAGCATCATTTCAAAAAATGTAATCAAACCTCTTTTGCACCTTTTCACTTCGGTGGGCATTCCTAAAGAGATCCAATCCGATCAGGGCACCAATTTTACAAGCAGTCTTTTCAAACAGGTGATGAAAGTCCTCAGTGTGGACAATTGTACATCTTCGGCTTACCACCCACAATCCCAAGGTTGCTTGAAACGGTTCCATCAAACTTTCAAATCAATGCTAAAAAAACACTGTATAGAACACCAAAAGGAATGGGATGAAAGCATAGACTTGTTACTCTTTGCCATCAGTGAATGTCCCCAGGAGTCATTGGGTTTATCCCCGTTCGAGTTACTATATGGGAGACAAATTAGGGGA